GTCAAAAAAAGTCCACTTGCAGCCAGTATGAAAAACATCCTTGCTAGCTGCATACTTCAATATAAACTTTTGACATTCATCCTGTACAGCATTCATGCTTACCCAATGATGTATGTAATAACTGTCACAGATTTTATGTAAATTATTTCATTCATTGGAGATATCCACTAAATTACATGAATTTAGGTACATCAGAATTAGAAACTTCAGGAATCTTGGGCTCAGTTTTATAAAATTACAAATCTAAGAAGGTGAGAATGAAGCTGTGAAAATGGTATTCAAACACAGCAACAGCCGGAACACTGAACTTCATTTCAAATCATCAGTACAGTGCACTCTTAAAGTTCTGTAGCCAAAAATATCGAAATTGAACAAGATGCCTCATGTAGAATTGCTTCTGATTTGTACTTCATAGACGGCAGGTCTGAATCTGAGCCAGAACACCAAATATCATGACTAAGGTTTTCAATGGATTTCATCAGTCCTTTTGAGCAAATCCTAGATAATATTTTGAAGGAAGAGAACATGTCATCTGTCAACTAAGCCTAACACACAAGCTCGCTATGACTATATGACTAAACTAACATCATAAAATTTCAGAGAATACTATTAAGACAGTCCAAAAATAGTCTGATATGAAATGCTGGTGGGGGATATAAGAAATTCATACATATATTCATGGGGAAACATACTATGAGCCTGTCACTTGAAAAACCAAGACACACAATGAGGAATAAAACTGAAATGGATCTTGGGGAAACTGACTGTGAGGCTGTAAACAGAACTGAACTGGCTTGGGTTCATGACCAGTGGCAAGCTTAACAGGGTTCTTTACCTGAGTGTAAGACAGTGGTATGAGTGTTCTCTGATGATTGTGGAGCAAACGTTCAAAAAACAGCAAATACTATCCGTGGCTTAATTATGTGGGCAGTACCCCACGTTTTCAAACCATACCAGTTGCCAAAGAATCATCTGCTCACACTACACGATGAACCTACCTGGACAAGAGATGTCCATCTAAGTGGCTGCCTGTCTGTAGTACCACATCTTCACCTTGATGAACCCACTTAATCACTTCACCACCATATTTAATATTTAGAGAATTTAAGGCCACAATGTGAACTGCCTTCACACAAACATAGACTGTAGATTCACTTTCGGCGGGAAGAATGGTTGTCATATAGGCGACTGTTGAGTTTTGCCACACTGAAATGACTGCAGACGGCTCAGTTCCATAAATATTTCTATTCACACACTCAGTACCTTTCTTTTGTGAATTTGAAGTAAATCGTACAGTCATCCCAGGGAAAAAGTTACTGCCTTTAAACTCTAACATAAATTTTCTAAAATATTCGTTGTCTGTATTTGTAATTGATGTGACATTTAATAATGATATCGTATTCACCACTGGTTGTGTTTCTGCCAGTGCAGTAACTTCTGTTGAGTACAAAACCATGAACATATATAACACTTTAACAAACAATCTCACCTCCACCGCCATGATGGTAGCAACTACAAAAGAGACATCTACCGGTGAAATATTTATGCACACGTTGCTATAGTATTGCGCATGGCTAATTAACATACGAGATCTTTTGATGACATCACGATTACATCACCTTTCGCTCAACGTCGAACTATAAGCAGAAGTGTACATTCGAGCCATCTGTTTGCAGTATTTTGAACTTCCAAGTATGCAGTGTCCGATTGAATGTTGACCAGTGGCGGTAATTGCTTTCACTTGTGATATTGTGTGAAGAACATCAAATATCACGTCAATAGACAGTGAACAATGTGTGTGTGAGAAACGACGTGCAGAAAAACCATGAATTCAGCATAACACATCGGGACGCTACACTATAGCGCTAATAAGTGGAGAGAAATGAAAACGATGAATTGTTCACTTCAGAAAGTTGATTGATTGATTGATGTCCTGTCGCTCTTAGCCAGAGCGTAGGGCCTCGACAAAGCAGCGCCAACGAGTTTTATTACGAGCCAGAACTTTCAGCTCCCTCCAGGTCTTTCCTTCCTTCTTTGCCTCCTCTTCAATGGTTCTCCTCCAGGTTGTTTTTTGCCTTCCCCTTTTCCTCCGTCCCTGGGGATTCCAGGAGAGCGCTTGCTTTACGACAGCGTTTTGATCCTTCCGCAGGGTATGACCAATCCACCTCCATTTTCTGCTCTTAATTTGTGTGGCTATTGGCTCCTCATTTGTTTGTTTCAAAAGGTCTTCATTTGTTATGATGTTGGGCCAAAACACGCGAAGGATCCTTCGGAGGCAGCGGTTGATGACTATTTGGAGACGATTGGTACTTCAGAGAGTTGCTTTATGTTAATACATTAATGTACTAGCCAAATGTAAAATTTGTGTAAAGCTGAATTTTGTACCTCAGTATCATATTCTGCCAAATACTTGGAAATCAAAAACATTAATAGCCACAATTGGTGTATTTAGTATAATTTTTTAATTGCTTCCTCTGTCTTTTTGTGTGGTGTAATTATGCACTCTGTTAAGATATAAAATGGTTGCAGCATTAATAAAGTTTTTTCAGCATGAATGGCAGCATTTTGATTTTCAGAAATTAAAAAAAAATGTATTTATCTCGAGATGTTCATGCTGCAGCTAACCATGTTATTGCAACAGGCTCTTCATATATAGTGACATTAAATTGTTTACATGCTGTGAAAGTTGTAAAGCTCTTTGCATTCATCCTGTATTACAAAAATACAATACTCACACAATGCAGAGCAGCCCCTATTTTCCACTTGTGACCCAAGATGAGAAATAAAGAGAGACTATTTTTGGTTCTTCGTTGGCAAGACTCCATTTCCAGTATTAATATGTTACCTTACTGTTAGGGCAGTATCTTGTAGTCTGAATTGCATTTTCCAGCAAGGATTTTGATTATATGCTGTTCACTTGACATGATTTTCATAGCTGCCTGAGATATGAAACTTTTCTCAGTTTTTAAATGTGACTTAAAAATGCAACACCAATGTGCTAATAATGGCAGAATTGTTTTCTCTTTTTGTTTATTTAACTCTTTTTCAATTGTGCAAATTACATAACACTGAATGTCAGAATGATTATAAACTGTGAATTGGAAAGGAAGTGAAGGGAAATAGTTGCTTATTTCCCTGTCCCGACTGAGGAACATCTCAAAAAACCTCAGTCAGGCCGAGATAAAACAGTAGTGCTAATCGCTACACTGCATGTTCTTTATTGCATGATTCAAGTACACATTACACACAGAAAATGTTTATACAAATACCATGAATCAGAAAAGTGCATCATTTCTTACAAATGTAAAGATACATGGGACACTTCAGTCTTTATACAAGAACAGAATACTCCCACCAGAGCAAGCCCAGAGCCGTGGCAGATGAGGAATGCAAAGGCAGACTTGTTGACACACAAGCTGATGGAATGTGCTATGGTCTCACATACAACTTGCTTTTTTACCAAATGCAACATATAAAATGTATGAAAACCAGTAGAAAAATTGAAAAAGTTTACAAATCTGTAGCAAGTTGTATGCGATCAGCCACACCATGTGTCAGACCCGTCTGGTGGAAGGATCAGTTGGGCTATGTACAGCATATTCATCAGGCATACACATAAACAGATATGTTGAAACCTAGTGGTCATCGGGTGCATTGCATAAAACAAAATGTAACAGTGCTGATCATAGTTCACCATTGTTTCATAATAATCAAGTACTCAACTTCATGCAGTGAATTACAGCACATGCCAGTCACATCATAAAATAATGAACGTTATGATATTTCAGTTCAGCGGCTCTCAACCTTAGGCCCTTTATACAGTCACAAAATCTAATCAAAAGAATTGGTTTTTCTGAAGTGTCAGAAAGCATAAGTCTGAGTTTTGGAAGGCCCTCTTTGTGGAAGATTAGGGCCATAGTAAAAAAAACAGGATAAGCTTTACCTTGTATCTCCATCTAATGAACAAAGAAGGCCAGCATGGAAGGTCACCTACCTCAACATCGACCACACATATTGTTACTTAACTCCTGCAATCATCATCTCATCTGTCACCCATAGATGTTGACTTACCTGAGACTTTGTCAAAATGCAAGTTGTTACAAAACATCACCCAGTCTCTTAATTTGAACCACAAGTCACAACATTCAAATTCACGTTAACTGGCATCATCTACTTTGGATGGCAGCAACCCGATGACAAGGTTTCTCCTTTGGCTTCAATACAAAGAGTGAATATTGTCGCATGATTAACCACAGATATTGTGTGTGCAATTCATTCACTTGCTTTGGCAGTCACAAAAATTATGTACAATTGGCTCCCAACAAATGGTAAGCATAATACACAACATGCAGACAAGTGGGGAACGTGTTCGTTGTAATGTCTGATTGCCGTGTCACCAACACAGGACCTCATTGTGGCAGCGTAAAAATATAGAGACAAAAATCAACTTGAATGAGACAGGAAACTTACATTCTGTGTATCTTCCCATCATCATGCAGACAGCAACACAGCAAGGGGAGCTTTGAAGAGTGGCAAATCCTCCATTCATTCCAGTCCACATCATCACAATTCACTTTTATAAGATAAAGCTTAATATTATTTTCCATAACCTTTTCAGTTTTTTAAACGACCACTTCCCAGTAGATATCCTCGCAAGACTTATGAATGCTTTTTGTTTCTTCCAATGTGAGCACCTATTTGTACAACGAAAGTTTCTTGATTTAATATCCCTCATTCCTGACTCTTTTCATACCTCATTCAGATACATATACTTTACACTCATCCACCAGAGTGAAAAACCATATTTCCAACCACACAAAGCAAAAAGATAAATGTTTTATATAGTATAATATTTTGTTTTTTCAAAAGCAGATGAGGCAATAAGAAACCGTTGACTTAATTTCACAGTGAGTCTTATGTTAAATTTTAAAACTGTTATTTACTGTTATTATCTATTATATAACACGTGATGCTATTGCCTGGAAGTATACCAGGTGCTGTGTATGGAATTTGGTCAGCAAGAAAGTGTTAATGTATCTTTTATAAGTAGGCCTATATCATATGATTTTTTAACAGTATATCATACACGTAGGTTTTGGTACAAACTCTTAGGTGGAATAAATTGGATGCCATATAAAGAATATCATTTCAGGGCTCATTCACTACATAATTTTGAATATTTTAATTAAATGAAAGAGAAGTTTAAACTTCATTACAAGATGTTGCAGTTGTATTTGCTTAGAGGTTAAGATTTTGCGCACTCTGAACAAATATAAACAATATAAAGATTTTGTATCCTGTAAATAATGTAGCTAAGTATTAGAATTTAACAACTCTTACATAAGTTACAGAAAGCAAAATTTATTTGTTTTCAGAGTCAGTTACTAAATTTATTTGAGGGAATACAGTTTGGAGTTGTCACTATATCTATCTTAGTTAAGCCTTATTACCAAGTGATCCATTCATGCTGGGCGGACTGAAACTAAACACAAACTTCATACTATTTGAAGCAAAGTTTGCATTTTAATTTGTTGTAAAGGACGGGGTTCAAACCTAGAAAACTTGGAACAGACTGTATATCTCAGAATTAACAAACTTCTAAAGTATTAATTATTTTGAAATGAAAGATTGGACTATAAAAATTGGGGGGTATGCTTTTGGTCCCCTTTGTATGTTTAACGATGAAATATACCTCACATGGTGCTGTCTGCTACTTACGTCATGCCATCTCTATGTGTGTGGCAAGTACTGGTCTGAATCACCACTTGAAGCCATGGAGAAGTTGGCTGAATCCCGATCCTGCTTGTGCTGCAGTGGGCTATATTTGTGAGGGAAGGTGTGGTGTCCCCCTGACAGCCCTGCACTGGTTACTACCCCACTAGCACAGTGGTGCAGTCGCTTCATGAATGGATTAAAGAGACGCACATGTGAGGGGATGGTCGTGTGCTGGCGGGGTGTGCTTGGGCCACCTGTGGGGAGGGGCATGGTGGAGCAGTGTGGGTACACTGTGGCCACCTGCTGTGTGGGGTACAGGGGAAGAGTGGCAGCTGGGTGGTCTGTGAATGATGTCATGCGCATGTTGGTAGAGCGACCAAAGGGCTCATCTGTGGTCTTTGGGCGGGCCTGCTTGCTGCGCCGAATGACCACAGTGCTCTCCACAACAGGGGCTGGTGGTACAGCATTGCGCTGTAGTGAGAAACTTCGCCATGCTGGGGGAGGCTGTCGTGATGGCTCCACTGTCAAGTCATCCACACTTGTAGACCGAGGCTTGTGTGTCTCTGAACTTGAGTTGGAGTGTACACCACTAGATGTCTCACTGTGACATGGTGGAGAGCCCCCAGAACTGTCAGAGTCAGAGCGAGGAGTCAGCTCATCGTGGGGCATCCCCGAGTCTGCACGGCGTAGACAGCGTGGTGTGGTGCTGACTGGCTACAATGAAAGCACTGAATTTAAGGTTTATAGACTCATTCAGTACACTGAGCCATGTATTGGCTTTTATTCTGCTACATTACACTCTTAGTCAACCACATATAGGA